TTTAAAATTAATGTCATAGAGACATTGATGAAGAAGCTGAGACAGATAATGAGGAAGGCGGTGTATGTGTGAATTGACAATAACATTGTGTGCTACAACTGCTTGCCTCTTACTCTGATAGAGTATGCTCCAAACAGCTCCAGAGCAGATCATTAACATCCCTGGATACGGATATCGACATTGAATTCAGGTCGTGATTTATTGCAGAAATGATCATTTGGAGTGAGATATTTACGTGAAGTAAATCTGAAAAAGTTGTATGTTTTATTAGTCGAAATTCGTACATAGTATACAACGATGGCAAATCTAATGGTTATGTAGTCTTTTTTTTTTTTTTGTCTTTTTTTACTGGTGTATACAACATCGGCGTCATTAATGAGCACGCGCACCGTTTTCGGTTGGCGCACGTATGCCTGCCTCCAATATATACGCCTTCAATTTTTCCAAGCTGTCATTAAGCATTTCCTATAACATAACGCGTATGCGAATGGATTTCATAAAAACCCCGGTTAGGATATAAAAAATAACAGACGGAACGGGGTACACAAGTCGCATACCATAAATATAAGTAGCATTGGCACACATCGACGCAATAATATCAAGTTGTTGGAAATTGAAATCGCAGAACCTCTCTAAACGTCTGCACGGCAATGTCATCTCGTAAACGAACGCGGTATGATATAGTTATTTAAAAAAGGTCAATAACCAAGCAAACATAAAGATATTGCCCGTACTGGAGATATTTACTGTAAAGTTGTAATCCATAAAGTTTCAGTAAACTGAAGCTATCGCTGGTACCACCATGCATTCGCACTATCTTATTCAGCATAATTTTAGCATTTTTGCGATCTTGATTTATCTCCAAAAAAAAGTGAATGCTGACGTTAGTTGGGTGGACCACTAACTTCGCCAATGGCAAATTCAAGCCTAGACCCTATTGCCTAAACGATATCAATCTTTCGTCACTTTTGGTTAAATCATAGTCCTCTGCTGATGCGACGAGAGTTACAGTATCTCTCCACTAAAGAATAAATTTTATTAAGCAATTTTTTAAAAATAAGCAAATTAGGATGCAGTCGGCGGACTCACAAAAAAACGTTCATATCCGTATGTGTTTTTTGGAATAAGCTTCGTATTAGTATGACTGGTGTTAAGAAGGTTTCACGGTACATGCGTTCTGACAAATTTCCATTCAGAAGATCATTCCCACGATCAAAGGAATTATAACTGTAAGAAAGAAATTAGTTATAAGCGTCAATAATGCTATACTTTAACGCGAGTTTTGATATCTACAGTTGATAGGTAAAGTCCCACGTGAACCGTTTCTTATCATCGTTTCTTGTTAATAAATAATTATTCTCCACTACCTTTTGAAAATCAGGTTCGTCCTGTGATGGAAGACATTCAGTGAACTGTTTTGAGTTGATAATAACAAGGTTCTTTCTCAGGTATAAACTACCTTGACATTTCACAATTAATTACATAATATCATTATGACAATCATTAACAAGAGGCATCAGTATAGGTAAGCTATTCATTTCTTCCCTTTCATCTTTTGCTTGATTTAACAAAATCACTGTTGGTTCCTGGTGTAATGTCAATTATATCATAGTGTTCAAGGCTAATGTTTCAAATTATGTAAGTAATTATTGACTTAACAAGTATCACAAATAATAAAGGAAACCTACTCATTGTGTGGGTGTTTTGTTTTTTTTTTTGCATTCTGCCACAATGTCAACAATTTATTATTATGCACATTCGGCTTCTTAGCACCAGCAAGCCATTCTCCATCACAATTAAGAGTCTCCTTTGCAATTTGTCAAGGTCATCATCACCATCTACCATTGCATCATCCATCATGTTGCTCTTATTTTGAATATCTGATTGGATTGCTACTTTCTTTGTAGGTGGTGTTGATATACCATCCTCATCTATTATTATTATATCATTGATTGCAGAAGTCTGACAATTCCCTTGGGGATAAAAATATCATAACTGATAAGTATCTTTGCAATATGATAACCATTATTTCTGTTAACCTTCCAGTGATTATGATATGAACAATTTGCAATCCTTAGAATAATGACAAACCTTAGCAGGTGATAAATCGTGGTCTGTGTTCACAGTTTCTGGTGTCCATTGTCTCTTAAAAAACACATTGGTTGGTTGCTGTTCAGGACTTGCTTGAAACAAATTATTAATCTCATCATTTAAATCCTAAAAAACATTAACATGAGACTAGAAGCATGAACTTACATAATTACTGCAGTCTTTTGATGCTTCTATCATTGTCTAATGCACTTTGGAAGTATTCTCAAGTCTGACTAGTCCTTCATTCCCTTTGCTAAAATGAGACATTGTTAGTAACAATTTATATTTGGCTTTGGATAATATGACTTCATGCATACTTTTGCATCTTCTTCCATCACTTTTAACAAAGTATCTCCATTTTCAAGGATTCCGTTTTCTGAAAAACATTTGAGTGAACTTTGTCAGGCTGGACTAGGAATCACTGCTACATATACAGACATGATGAATGATAGAAAAGCATACAATTAATTTGTTATGGAGACTGCAAGCATACTGTACAATTTAGGACAAACATTCTCAATGGTCAGTGTATCAACAGGATTTTGAATGTATAGCTGAAAGACTTGTTGTGCTGTTACTGTTGGATCGTCCATGTATACGAATTTCAATATCATTCCAACCACACGGGAATTGGCAAGTTTTTCTCTGTAACATTCTTGCCTCAATAGCAAAGGGTTGCATCAATTAGGAACTTGTCAATTTTGCTCATCTGCGCATATTAAACAAAATAAATCGTGTTAAAATACTAGTAATTCACAGAAATTCACTACTGTCACAGTTATAGTCCTCATATAGGTACAAGTTGTTCGGGCAATCCTTTACATTACAACTTGACACTTTTTGTGTTGAATTATTAAGTGCCAGTTGCAGACCTCAAGCAACACAGGCAAACACTCTTCTAAACGAAAACTCTTTCCGCAGTCTCTTCTCTTACACGTATGTTGATACGGAAGATTTGCATGTAAACCCTGGGACGTTACAGCCAGCATCCATTCTGTCCGACCAAGCGCCACCCGTTCGTGTTGAACTTACCAAACAGGACTTGGTGATCCCATGCAACAAAAAGAGACGCGTGGATACGTAAACGGATATTACTTTTATAACTTTGGAATGGAAAATAGGTATGAAATATCTGTGTGTTTGGTCACCACAAATCGAAATTCTGTGCTGCATATAATCTGATTGGATAATCATGAGAACGATTCGCATACTTTCTACTCTACACACTGTGAAATTAGTATACGCCACCTTCAAAGGACCTCTCATGAGATACTATCGACTGATGCCTGAGTGGCTCTAGATACTATTCTTGTGAGTGCTTTCTTAATTTTTGGTAATAGAAAAGACGTACGGAGAGAGATCTGACTGTACGGTGAATTTTACTAGCTCTTGCTTCAAAGAGTCTCGCGTAAATGCCCGATTTACATGTACTTTTTTCTTTCCTGAAAGTTCTGGTAATTTTCGGATTTTACGGCTTACTAAGCCTATAATAAAATTTTGCATTATTACTTTTCTTCCTGATGATATGTTTAAAAAGTACACATGCCTGACTTCTAACCATTAGTGCTCATATTAATATTAACATATCGAAGAAGTAACTCAACCTACACATACAGT